GTCACAAAACACTGTACAGTCAAAGACTTCAGCTGCTGAGGGTTGTCGTCTAATATTTTCTTTGCCCAGTCCTGTCTTGGTTCTAGTATTTTGTTCCTGCTGTCACAGTAACCTGCCTGAATGCCATCAAACACCATTTCACTCAAAAACTCTGATATGTTTGCGACTCCTGACGATCCAGTGGCCACATGCTTCAGTGAGTGTTTTGCTGTGAGACAAACAATATTGTTTTATAGTTAAAAATATGCAAACAATGTCAGCAGCCTAACAGAGGTGTAGTCCTCTTTGTTTTTTCTAAGTGAGGACAAAGAAATTTATTATATTGAGGTTGAATTCAGTTGTTACTTTAAGAGTATTTCATGGATTAAATAAAGACCTAATCAGTGATCTAGTATATCTAGATAACGAGTGCCAAATTTAATACGGTCCAGTAAAAACAAAAACTGCTGTTTCATCTCATTAAAGAGATGCAGTGTCAGTTTTGTGACTGACAGGCCAAATTAGCATGATGATGCACTTGCGAGTCTTTGAGTCGTCTACCAGAAGTGCGCTAATTTGTACACACAGATGCAGTTAGTTTATTTCAGTGATTACATAAAAGAACAACTCATATTAGTGGCTTAAATATTGACCAGATGAGGCCACGCGGCCAAACGAAATTAATACAGTGTAAGCGACAGTTTTACATGTTGTTCTCACTGAAAACGGAGTGGCAGGTAAGATGAATGAGAGAAGAAGAATGATGTAAGGAAAAATCAGTATGGTTTTCTATACAGGTAAACTCATTTGTTAGAAATGTGTGAGGACTTATCCAGAGCAGAGCTGTATTATTACATTGTTATTACTTTTCCATAAATAGTATATGTGTAACAGCTGTACTATAAAAGAACACAAGACATCAGATATCTGTGGTAATGAAGATAATGTCTAATATGTAAAAATGCGGGGGTGGGGGGGTTAGGCTATGGAATTTATTAGTCTATTTTACATATTTTAAGATTCAGACATTAAAATGAAACACTAAAACAGTCACGTTATCAGCTTGTTATCAACTCACAGGCCTCTAATAGGGCCAGAGCTTGAAGGAGAAGGGGGGAGAAAAAATAAATAAAAATGCTACAGTGCCAATAAAATTCCATTGCTAATCCACGTCTGATAAATTGGTTTTGATCCTGTTCTGTATCATTATTATTCCACAAAGT